CCGGGCGGACCCGTGCGATCATGCGTTTTTGCAATATTTCGTGCTGTAATGAGATCGCTCGGAAACTCATAGTTAAGAATGTGTGATATACTGGCTCTCGAAGTTCGGGAAGTTAATTGTCTACGCCGTATTTCGACAGGGAACATTTCGTTGAAATTTCAGATTTCCAAGTTTTCTGGTTTTTGAGTTAACAATTTTTCTGCCAAAAACTTTCACGAAGCCGCACGTGACAGTCACTCATGCCTTGGGAATGAGTTTGATAAATTTTAGTCGTACGTGGGCTGGGAACATTTCCTGAAAATTTCAGTTCCCCAGCTTTCCTGGTTACCGAGCTAGCGATTTTCGTGCCAGGAACGCTCACGAGGCTACACGCGGGAATCATCCACGCCTGGGGCTGAATTTGAAATCTTTGACTTCTGTATGGGCGAGGGACATAATTTCGAAATTTCAGCTTCATAGCTTTTCTGGTCCCCGAGTTAGCGGCTTTCTCGCCAAAATTTTTAGCATCTCGTATTGTGGAGCTCAGATTTGCGTGAGGGTTAGCACCGCGGTCTTGGGATGGCACTTGGTCGGGGAACCTACTAGCAAAATCTTGGCGTCGGAGCTTTCTTGGGTCCCGAGTTGAAATATCCGGACAGACGCACAGGCACACATACATATACACAGGGGTCGTCGCAATATGCGTTTCCGCATTTGCATATATGCAAAAACGCACAAAAACTGATAGTCATGTACCTGGAAATTCATGCAGCAATATAATGCAACACCTTCATCCCAGCTGTTTCCTCCTGCATTCCGGAAAAGGCCAACACGTTGCCAATATGAGTCCAAGTGTTAGGCTGCAGTACAGGAATCGTTCCTGTTATTGACGATCTGCACGTACAATGCAAAAATACACGAACTGTATTACAGCCTGGGTATATGTCTACCACGATATACTCAAAGTATCTTTCGTTCGCAGCTGGCGTCCATTCGTCTGCTTCTGTCATTAGCCACGTTCGCATGTGTACATCACGGGGTTGTTAAAGAGGTGGCTACGCCTCTTCCGGTGCGTTCCCAGTTTTTAATACCACCATTTTCTGTCTTCATCTCATGTCCGCAATTCTGCCACACGTTTCAGTGTGTTTTGCAATTTCGTATTTGCTGCGTAGCAGCATGATCTCTACTTCACTACCGTTCAGCCTGGCTGGATTTGAAATAGCTTGTATTTCTCCATTTCTTGTTAACACCTAATAATTCACCAAACGTACTCATATTTTAGTATTTGAATAATTAAGGGTGAAAGAAAATACATAAATCATACCTACCATTCAAAAAATGGCCCTAACGCATTCTTACTAGCTCATGGAAAGGGCAGAAGGGTTGCGAGCATGACCACGCTACTGTATGGTAAATGCTATGCTGTTCGTTTTTTCGTACACAAGTAATTTTATCGTTGTCTAGCAGAAATAAAAAATGGCTGGCTTTCTTGAGATAAAGCATTTGCACATAGAAATAATTTACAAAATAAAGTTCTTATGCGTTTTTGCATATAGGCAGATGCGAAAACGCATATTGTGACGATCCGGGTGTGTGTATGTGCGCGTCTGTCCGGGTATTTCAACTCGGCACCCAAGCAAGTTCCGGTGCCAAAGCTTTGCGAGTGGATTCCCCAGCCAAATGCTGTCGTAGGACCGTGGTACCAACCACCACGTACGTCTAGGCCCCGCGTGTGAGAAAGTGGAAGTCTTGGCGGGAAAATCAATCTCGGAAACCAGAAAAGCTAGAAAGCTGGAATTCCGAGGTTATGTTCCCCGTCCATATAAAACTCAAAGACTTCAAGTTTAGCCCCCAGGTGTGCGTGGCCCTCACGCACGGCCCCGTGAAGGCTATTGATGGGAAAATCGCCCACTTGAGATTCTGGGCGGCTGGGATATTGAAATTTTAAGAGGCTTTCTCAGCCCATGTACAATTTAAAGTTAACAAATATGTACAATTTAAAGTTTACATACGGCCTCGTGAAAATTTATGGCGGGAAAGTGGCAAACTCCGGAACTAAGGAAGCTGGGGGGCTGGAATTTTCCAAAGATGTTCCCAGCTCAACTTAAATTTGCCAAACTCAGCCCCAGGGCATGCGAGCTTATCTCACACGGCCCCGTGAAAATTTTTGACTGGGATATGTGTAATTCGGGAACTGGGAAAGCTGGGAGCCTGAAACTTTAAGGGGATGTTCCCAGCCTATGTGGAACTTAAATCTATCAAATTCAGCCCCCAGTTACGCGTGGTTTTCATCGTACGTCCCCGTGAAATTCTTTAGCGGGGAAATGGCCAATCCGGAACCAGGAAACCTGGAGGGGAGGGGGGGGAGGGAGGGGGAGCTGAAATTTTTAGGGAATGTTCCCTGTCCAAGTACAGCGTAGACAATTAACCTCCCGAAATTCGAGGAACAGTATGTCACACATTTCTAGCTATTGGTTTCCGAGCGATCTCATTATAGCACGAAGCACTGCAAAAACGCATGATCGGGTCCGCCCGGTGCACGTCGCCAATGATTAGAATTCCGTCACTGAAAGAACCTGCCTCCCGCAAAAATCGTAGTAGAGCTGTAGCGCAGAAAGATCATTCCGAAAATATTAGTTAAGTCGGGAATCACCAAAAAGTCATCCTGTTAAAAACACCATCTCAGGCAGCCAACCTGGACGAAGTACAAAATGTCAAAGGCTGTTGGCGAGGAAACTAAAGACGATGAGATAGTGAAGCAGCAAGCTGGATCAAGCAGGTCTGTTTCCACTTCAGAGCACGTGCAACCTTGGGGTGCACCTTTTTTTTGCCAAATCGGACAGTTCGTAAGCAACTTTGGTTCCTCGCCGAGCCTTTCGAAGCACAATCTACAGAAACGAGCAAAGCGTTGGAAATGCTACCATTTGTGCAGTCTAAGAGATGTTTTGGATGCTCATTCATTTGAAGTAATGTGGCCAAGGAGAGACACACTGTACATCTTTAGCAGTATCAGCCGTTCTATCACATTACCACTGTCAGCTACTTTGCCTCTGGTACTAGCAATTCCCAAAATCTTCACTTTTAAAACTGATAGCATGTAGTTGTAGAAAGCAAATAAAGATAACAAAAAGGAGGTCACAAGCAAGCAAGTCACCAGCAAACAGATCAGCAAGAAAGATGCCAACAGCGAAAGTTCCAGTGGAGAAGGCATCCACAAAATCGCCATTAGAACGCAAAAGATTGAACAAGGATGCAGCATCTGTCAAGGAAGAGAGTTTACAGATGGAGAAGACTGTTTCAGACAGGTTTCTTTTTATCACTTCACGGAATTTTCGGTGCACATTATCTATGTGCATTTCACTGCAGTAGTTACCAATTTTTATGCGTTTTTGCATATATGCAAATGCGAAAACGCATATTGCGACGACCCCGG